ATTAGAGAAACTTTGTTTTCTAAGCTATGGTTGTTTGCTTATGGCAGTTCTTAAGTGATCTCTTAAGAAACCACTCCTCTTTACAGAGATGGGGACTGAATTCTGTTAGTGAAGTTCTGTGGCACTAATGTCTAAAGATGACCACCAAATCTCAGCAGGCAAGGAAAGAATGGTTACTATTTGAAAAATGCAATTTAGACATTTGGAACCCAGTTCTGTCTGAGTGAGTGAATTAATCCCCACCCTTTGCCTTCCCCCACTGGCACCTCTCCCAGGCTGTGCAGCAGCATTAACCTTATGGACAAACATGCTGGTGCTTCCTCCTGCAAACTGAAGGATGAGAGCTGAGCAACACCTTGTGTTAGATGATAAAACTAACCATATGCTCTGAGCTTGCTCCTTTTCTTCCTTAATATAGCAGACTTTGCCTCTCTGTGCTACCAATTCCCATGTTTTCTCTTTGAGGCATTTATGTATTTTCATTACTTTGTGAAACACCAGCTTTCATAAATCACTTTATGGCACTGTTTTATATGTATTTTGTTCTTCCTCATTATTTCTTTCTGTCCTTTCTGGCATTATGTGCTATATCAAATGTTGCTTTCCTGTGTAAATCATGAAGTTCCTTGCGATATTTTTACCAGCATGACTGCGAGCTCAGACTGACAGCTGATTATCACTGTTTCGTTTCCTCCTTTTGTCGATCCTTTGCTATTAAAAAGTTTGATGCTTGTCTCCTACTCACCTCAGCTGGAGAGAGTTCTTTTCTACCAGTGTGTCCTTTAAATATCCAATTGAGTAGGAATGTTATAATAAAGTAATTATTAAGTTATGTTGTTGTGAATGACTGCAGATTACTCGTTGTTATGTGACTGTACTGTGCAAACATAATGATTCAGATGGCACTTCCAGTATGTTTAGTTGAATTCACAGGAACTAGATACTTGGAAATCTTTTCTCCCAAACAGAATCCATGTTCAGTTTTGCGACAAAGAATTTATAAAATAATTTTTAACCTGATATACCACAATTAAGCTTACTCTTAAGTTTCAGATCATGAGTACTTAAATGCAGGGAATCAGCTACTTTTAGGAACTAATAAGATGAAAAAAATTATGTCATAAACCAACAAATACTCTAACAGCATGCAAGGAGTATTAAAGAAGCAAAAAATTTTTTAATATACCTGTACAATTGATATTATCAATTTTTTAAAAGAAATATTTAATAATGCTTTAGGAATCAAAGCTTATATACAGTTAAACATTAATGTGGGCCCTCAAAGATGGTTTTGGGGAAATTTTTATATGAAAAGCCTTTGCTTTTGATGGAAAATTGATCTCATTAAAATTATAGGTGTGGATAACTGTAATTCCATATATAGATGAGAGTTGATTCTCAAGCCCACAGAAAGGCTGCCATTTATTTAATTCAGAGTATCAGCCTGCAATCAGCAAAGCCAGGTTTAATGTGCATAACCTGCACAGCAACATTCAGAAGTCTGACTATAGTACCCATAAACATGATAATATGTCAGGTAACTGCTTTAATAATACTAAACTGAAGAGCATTTTGGATGTCTGGCTTGGCACATTAACGAGACCTAAAGATCAAATATGAACTAATTAAGGCTCTCTATAAATTATACAAGCCACATTTTGTATCTTACTGCTATTTAAGAAAAAATTGATATGCTTTTGTGTTTACCAGCTCTTGAAGTAGGGTTTTGTTTCTCCTAACACCTTATTTTAGCTTCTGGTACCAGTAGGTTATAAGAGGCTATAAATTACCCTTGTTACCTTAATAATCCCAGGATTGCTGAATAAGCTCCATTCCATCATAACATAATCACATTCCAGCATCTGCACCAGGCTTCAAGACTCCCGACTGCTTATGAGGAATAGTGGTCTGAGTCAATCAATACAGAAAGCATTAACATGGAGCAACATATTGTGTGTGTGACAGACACTTGCATATCATTACAGCAGCAATAACTCAACGATAAACTTACCAATCTAAAGGGGATCATTTACAAATTTTTATGTCAAATGACGCACGAAGGTCATAACAACAAAATGTGTTTGCTGTATTTCATCAGAGTCCGTTACTATTTACAGTATTTTTTTCCTGGCCATTGCAATTGACTGCTCAGAATTCTACAGGTGTTAGTGCTGAGGGAAATGGGTTTGCAGACTAACCACAGGAATCTGCTCATATCTTACCCAGGAGAGGGAAGACAAAATTAATTTGGACCAATTTATCTAGTCAATGCAAGGAACAATTAAAAGATTAAAACTATAGCTTATTGGAAGACATTTCAATTACTTTCAGGTAAAAATCTTGTCTATGATTAAATTAGATCTTTCTTGGCTTAACAGAATTTTGAGATATTTCTGGAAGCACGATTTTCACTTGGCCATTCTATGTTACCATAGCTTTCAAAATCCCACAACCTTCATTAAAGTAGAACAGATCAGTTTCAGAATCTATTCTGCACAGTGCCACCTGCACGTAGGTAAATTTGCCTCTCTTGTTTTCTGTTTGGTTTTAGTACTCATTACCTGTACTGCAAAGGACTTTTTGCAGATTTGCCACTACTTTATGCCTTTGTAAGTAATCTCATTTCTCTTCCTGCCAGGAAATTCTGTTATTGAATTCTCATTAGGTTTTTTGTTTGTTTGTTTGGGGTTTTTTTGTGTTTTTTTTTTTTTTTTTTAATTTAGTCTGGTTTTAACCTGCAAATAACTGATGTTCTCCAAGTTGGCCTATCCCATACCACTTAAGTGAAAGAACTTCACTGAGCAGGTATGGAATCAAGCTCTGGGGCAGTTAAAACACCATTTCTTTAAATGTAGAACTTTATTAATAGTTTACATTATATATATCTTTTGCTAGCTTTTGTTTTTATCTCTTCACAGCAGAAATTTTTCCTTTTGACTTCTCTAGAAGATAAATAATGTTTGAGAACCTGTGATCACTAACTATTTTTTCTACAAATGGAATCACTTCAAGGCACCTGCATCACTGAAGTGCTAAACCAGGAACAACCTGAGATGAATCTCCAATGCCACTGAACTGCTGGTCTGGTAATTACTCAAGTCATCCTTGTACTCCCAAAGACTGTTAAAACACACGTATTTCTGAATGTGGCAGGAGTAACTTCTCCAGGTCAGAGGCCTGGGCATGGGGTTTGGTGTAATGGCAGTGGAGAATTAAAATTAGTTTACACCTGGCCCTATTTATTTTTACTTCAGAACCTGTGCACTTTTAAAAGCATATAGGCACTCATAGAGCTTTTCAGTCATCTGTGCCTCTCGGATAATCTGCCTCTGGAGACTCAGAGATCAATTATTTCACTGGAATAAAGTTGGGCACATTGTCCTCATAAAAGCTGTCCTGCAGACCCGGCTCCTGTGTGAGCTCACCTACAGCAACATTCCCAGGCTGACAGAACCTGCTCAGCAAGAGCCAGGTAAAATCCAAGAGCTGTGTGATTTTGTTAGCAGGGGGCCTGAGATAATATCCTTTGCCTCTCAGGTGGGTTTCTGAGATTGGCCTCATTACTACAGTAACACAAATAAACAACTTTCAGCACCTCGTGAATTTAACTGGACTAAAATAGTGTTTGCTCACAGACTCCAATCCCTTATTTGGATTTTTCTTAATCTTAGCTTCATATCTAATGAACAGGATTAATTAAGGTCATTAAGTATGCATCAAATTATTCTGAGAACTGAATGTTTTAATAATTCTACTTCAGTCCAGTAATACTACAAAAATGCAGAAAGGCTGATTTTGAAATGATGACTGGAGGAATTAAGAGAGGGGAGGAGTGCAGCTCAAATTTACAGAAAGTATCCAAATCTAAGTGGCAGAGCACCACAACCTGCCATCAATCTGAAGTTCACATGCAGGATTTCTTAAGCATGTGTGGAAGCAACAGAAACAATTTCCATTGAGAGAGGTATTAAGTAGCTGCTACTTCTTTTCAGGACTAATTCTGCTTGCAAATCACCCAAAGGCAAAAATCTTTCAGAGGATGATGGGAATCCCTGGCTCCCACACAGGAAAGTCAAGAATATTTACCTAAAAATAAGGAACAAGAAGATGGTATATATAGGACACCATTACCACATTTTTCTTAATCAGGACAATCAGAATATTTACATTTATAGCTGACACTTAAAATTTTTCACTTTTTTTCATGTTAATCCCACAAGAAAATAAACCTCTACTGCTTCATCATATATCAAATAGTGCATTTGAAGTGTAATTCAGTTCATTAAAAATAAAATAGTGCCTTTGACCATCCCTTGGCACACCTTTTCCACATACAAAAAGTTACCTGAGAAAAGTTGTATCAACATGGCTCATCATATTCATTAGAATTATATTTAAATAGAATTTTAAGTAAAATTTAGTGGTATCTTTCTATCCTGTTTTGCAGTTCAGTCTGTTATGGTAACTTATTTAAGGTGCAATACATAGTTTTGAAGGTGAAGGTCTGTCAAGTTTCTATTCTGTTAATTCACCATTTTGTGACTGACTGAATCAAATAATTTGGAAAACATCCACATTAAGCTGTCTGACTTATTGTGTGTCTGTCTTAAAAGGTCTATACAGGAATCCAGTCACTTAAAATAAATATGGACCCATGGAATTTGTTTAGTGATTCCCTTTTATTGTTATTTTTGTAAAAATAAAATGGTATCACTATGACTTAATGTTGGGGGCTTTAATGATATACTTTTTTTTTTGATTATTTGGTTTAGAAAGTCCTTTTCCATTGGAAAAGGCACCTTTGTCCCCAAATTCAAGTCAAATATACTTGACACCTCAGAGAAAAAAAAAAAAAAAGAAATCCATAAAATGTCAATAAGCTAAAATGGAATGTAATTTCAGTGTGACAAATTTATATAATATAACCAGGCTTTGAGGTGATGGTACTTAATAGGTAATAATAATGATAAACAAGTAAAACATTGGTGCACCTAGAAAAATCATGTTATGTATATCTTTATTACAGTTTTCAGAATACAAGGATTAACAATGGCCAGGCTGTGATTTCATCAAATTCCTATTTTAAACATTACATACAAACACAGAGCTGTTTAAAAAATAGAAATGCATGAGTTTTGTCACCTTTTTTTTAATCTTTTTTTTTGTTTTTGTTTTTGGCATCAGGAGTCCTGTGACTTCCAAAAGGGAAATCAAATGGTGCATGATAGCAGACTGCCTGAGCTGTAATAGGTTATTGTTCACATTCTGTGGCATATGTATCACCTCAAACAGTGCTAAAAGAAGCACTACAAGAACAAATCTTTCTCCTTTACCATTCTCCTAATGACATCAGTGGGTGCCGAGCGACAGCTTGCAGGACTGCAGAATTCACAGGCTTACACAACTCCCTTCCTTGAGCACAAAAAGCAGCAATATGTGATCTGAAACGGAGACACCTGAAGCTGAGGGATTTGGCTTTATCTGCTTTGACTTTTTTTTTTATTTTTATTTTTATTATTTACAGTTTGTGTGCATGCGTGGGCATGTGCGGAGACACTGCAGAAGAGCTGTAGAGATTTTCTTACAATACTTATTTAAAAATGAGTAACTTGCAAATACAGTATGGCACATCAGAGGTGGGCTTTAAGTTGCTGTATCACTTAGCACTTGTTATGCCTGACCTCGCAGCAATTTGAAGGCAAACAGTAAAGTAGAACTCAGCCAAGCCTTTGTTTAATGGAAAAGAAGCAATTTACATATATAGGTAAGTTTGCTCCCACAGAACTATTACCAGCTTTAAATATTTACTAGCTATGTCATTCTCAGTATAGGAAGTACTAAATTCACCCATCAAAGCAGGATTTGCCTGAGGGATACAAAAGCTGAAAGTTGTGAAGTTTCTTGAACAAGAGCTATAGGAGGATTTCCAGCCAAACCTAAAACTCAGCCAGATTCTCAGAGTTTTGCAAACTGTTTGTGTGTTGTGGGATGAATTTAAAGTAGGTTACTAATGAATTGTGGCTTGGATAGAAACCATGAAAATATTACGTTTTTTACAGCATTTGTCTGAGGTAGTACATATACCACACACAAAAATGCAAAAATATACAGATATTCGTGACTATTTGCATATCACACAAGGGAACTATGGGAATGTTTCCATTTGTATCTGAATTTTCAAGAAGAACAGATAATTTTAGATAATATTTTTCATATTGACCATGGTCAGCTAAAACCAGAACAAATGACGTAACAGTATTTCTGGGAATACTTCCTGGAGCTCTTTGTCAGTGCCCTCTGAGGCACCAATTTTGTTTTGGCTTTAGCATCAGCTCATAATATGATTAACACTCAAACCAAACATCACTTGTGTGCTGGGAAAGGATATTTGTTGAATCACAAACAAACATACATAACAAACCGTGTTGCACTTTTTTTTTTTCAGTAAACTGCATCAAACTTGAGCAAAAAAAGTCTATAGTGTCTTTACATTTCTGATCTGTACAGCCAGTAGTTAAGCAACAGAGATGTATATTTGTATATGATTTAAACATTTCATTCCCATGACATTTGCAAATTTAGTTCAATTCATTGCAAAGGTAAAATTATCTTCCTCTTAAATAAACTAAGAAATGTAAACAGTGTAACATCATTTAAAAAAAACTCTCTTCAGTACTTGTAACTGGTAAAATGTGAATGCAAACAGATGTGCTGGTATATTGTTAACGTAATGTCTCAGAGGACATATAGTGAAACATAATTAGCAAGAAATTTATGTATGAACCCTCCAGCGATTTTCTTTCTGGGATTACTTTGAATACAAATATAATTTAACTGATATATTTCATTTTTTTAAAATTAGAAAATAAGGCAAGTGCATTTCTGAAAAAGGTGCTACTCTTCTACACTTCTAGATAAACATGTGACACCTCTGAAAATTAGATCAATAATAAAAACATTAAAAATATCTGCAATTTAATATAGACTGAAAAACTATCAAAAGACAAAGTGACCAGCATCAATTTCAGAAAATATTTTAGACTTCATAAATACGAGCACCCTATATTTACATAAATTATCTTCTAAACTATTTTTTCATTTGAAAGACACTTTTGCCCTAACAGATATGTCCATTAAATTATATAAATGTTTCAAATATGAAAAAAATAGTAGTAAAATAGAAGCATCAGATGATGTTATTTTGGATTTGCCTTTTTTTTCATAAAATTTGGTTCTTGAAAATCTGTAGCCAGCTTTCACAGAGCTTTAAAATAAAAAAACAACCCATGGATATGAAAAACTTGTGCTCTAATAATTACTGCTACCGTATAAAGATTCTGTTCAGAGCTTTTGAGTTTTCATGTATAAAGATTATAAAGATTATACCACTACTTGTAAATCCCAGCAAAATGTTACTTTCAGAATCTGAATTCTAATACACTATTGATTTATATAGACATTATGAACCTAATCCTTTAAACTGGCTTCGTACATTAAGCACATTTATTTGTGCTTAAATGTAATAGTTTCATTTAAAAAAAAAGTTATGCTTCAGTACAAGGTTGATGTTGACCTTGCTCAAAACAGGATATAATTCTTTGTATCTCTTACTGATAAGACAGGGAGACAGAATCCTGTTGCATGCTTTTTTTTTTTTCCTGAAGTACCATAAAACCCTTTAGTTTGTCACTAAAAACCCTGAACAGTTCAGGGAGAAAATCAGTTGACAGCACACATTTCATTAGGCTTCAGTTGTATTCCTATGTTTAGAGTTATGGGCAAACCCCTCGTATTCTTTGAAGACAAGTTTTGGAAAAAAAAAAAAAAAATTCAACACTAGGTTGAAAAGGAGCTGTATCTTTTCTTACAATAATTGGATTTGTAGTTCGAAACTGTGAGAATTTATCCCAAACTAGTCAGATAGTCTTCAAGATATCTCACGAGAGAAGCAAAAAGGACCTACTGTACAAAGATGCTTGGCTCAAGCAGTAGTGCAAAGGTACTGCCCCAGGAGCGAACGTTCCTCTAGAGCTACCAGTTTGTGCACAGAAAACCATGTGACACTTCACCTTCCAAACACTCTATATAACATTAAAAAAAAGTTCCCCATAACACCAGGCAATAAAAGTATTCATAATAATTTCATCAATCAGTGAAAAGCATTAATAATTTGAGAACAAGTGCCATCTACAAGATCCTGATCTTTAAAAAATATCATAGCTGAGAAGCATGTGAAGCAGTTCCACTGGAACTCCCACTTCAAGTCCTCCATCCCATCAGATAAGCAATGAACTTTCAGTAGAAAGGATGGTGAAGGTTGACCTGAACACCAAACAGTCTGTACATTCAGCTGGAGTTCGGGGAGCAAAGGGAACTCTGGTTTCCCAGTGAGTGGCAGAACATACAGTGTCAGCTACTGAACTGACTGCTCACCTGAGGTACTGCAGTGCAGGGGGCCTGTATACAAAGTAGGATGGGAGGAGCTTCCCAAAAAATCAAATTGCTGCAAGCATTGATCACTGCTAGAGAGTGCTCCAGGTAGGAAATTTGTTCTTAGCTGCTAAACTCAGCACTGAAATCCACCAGTAGAGATCCCGCTACATATTTTACCTGAGAAACAGAGGAAAAACTCAGAGGCAGTTTTGAATAACTTCGTAATGTAGCTTGTCTCTAAAAACCTACACAAAGGTACTTTTAGCATAATTAAAATAGGACAATCATATTTTCCCCCAAATATCTTTATAAAGAATATATAAGTGCGTAATTAGAAAAATTCCTCCTTAGATACAGTTAAAAACATATCCTGCCTTTGACATCATTTAATTTTGGTAAAATCCTATGCTCTGTTTTCTGTTCTTTTTTTTTTCTTTTTCTTTTTTTTTTTAGCAGTGATAAGTAACTATACATCATCATATCACCAGAAGTGTAGATATGTGGTATACCCTACTTGCAGCTAAAACAGCTGAAACCGCCAGGCTTTACATTGAGATAAGGTTTTCAGCAACTTGACTAGGGCTATGTGTTGCTTTTTTTATGGTTACAAAAAAGATTCTGATAATGTAGACCAGCTCATCTCTGAATTTATTAACATACAATTTTATTATTTTTTCCTTTCATGTTCAAATCAGAACTGCAAATGGAATCCACAGCTGTACTCTTTCAACAGAACTGTATTTTCTTACCCATATAAAACAAAACCTAGAAATCCCCAACTCCTTTCATGTGAGTTGCCAGCTTAAAAAAAAGGGTTTAAAAAAAAAAAAAAAAGAAAGAACATAAGAAAATAAGATATATATCCTACTGTTTAACACTGTTTACAGATCTTGGTAGTTGGGGTAATAAGATACAGTATGTGGATTATTTAGCAACAGCTTTAAAATTACATATTTTTACAGCATCTCATTTAATCAATACCAGTATTCCTTTACGATCATTGCCAATTCATATCATAAACTCTTTCCAAAGCATATCCATTTAATTGTAAATAAAACAATTCATTAATTCTTTGGCATCAGAAGAATCATACAGCTGCAATTGTTCCATTGTGGCGAGAACGAGACCTTTCCAAAGCTACTCGTTTGTTATCTGTAACACAAAGAGAGGAAAAAACAAATCACCATAAGATTTGAAACACGGATAATGCAATGTCAAGAGGTTTTCAAACAGCCCTGAAAATCATTTCGAATGATATGTAAATAAGTAACTAGGAGACTGGATCAGAGAAGTTTCACACTGCAGCTGCCAGTCAGAGTTCAAGAGTTCTGCAATCAGCAATAAATTACTTTCTTGATCAGAGAAGCTGGGTGATAAAAGCATTAGGAGAATCCTGAAACACAATCCCCTTGGAAACAGCACACAATAACTAAAATTGCTGGGTAAAAATCTGTAAAATTTTATAAACAATTTATGCACAGAAACTCTGGAAAAATACACTTTAAGTTTCCTGAGAAAGCAGTGACCAGTGTGGTGGTGAGAAGCCCACTAGATCCTACAAGTACAAAAGCCCAAACACCGTTCACTATAATTTGGTACAGAGTTAAAAATAGAACAGTTAAATCAGCCACTTCCTAAGCATTTCCTGATTGCGCAATGAGAACAACTTTTAGTATAAAATATTTCACAGTAATTATTGCAATGAATAATAAATATGTCTCTATCACAGGAAAACAATCACCAAGTACCAACCACATTCCTAAATGCCTTTAAAATAAAATTTTAAAGCAATGAATATACACATGCACAGACACAAAAAGGGACAGAAGATTAACCCCCACTTAGTTTTCTGGAGGTTTGGATCTTTCTTTTTTAAAATGTGGTCCTTCCATGCAAATTTTTATTTTTGGAGGGAGGGACTGTTTCTTTTGACATTGACTTTTCTATTCTCTCATGTCACATTCACATTGCCGCTCTGCATCGGTACAGTGCCTACATTGCTACAGCATTAGGGTGTCCCAGCGTACAGCTGGAACTTCCACACAGGACTGGAGTATAAAACAAACACTTCAGAAGCAAAAAACTGACACACACACTGCAGGCAAGCAGGTTTTCTCAGCTTTTCTCCAAAGGAGCAGATTTATCTCTCTCTGCTTGCCCAGAGTAGAACAGCCTGTGCCACTGGTGCTGCTGGAAGAGGCTGAGTTTGGGCCAAGCTGAGGGTTCAGCACAAAGCACGAAATCACAGCGTGTGTGATGGGTACAAATACACTCTTTGAAAAGGATATGGACTGAATCACTATGTGCCAGAGAACAAGGGAAAGGCTGGAGCAAAGAGCAATCTGGGATCTCAGCAGTGAGTGTAAATACCTGCAGGGAGGGTGCCAAGAGGCCAGAGCCAGGCTCTTCCCAGCGGTGCCCAGCCCGAGGACCAAAGTCAATGAGCACAAACTGAAACACAGGAGGTTACTCTGAACTAGAGGAAACACTTTCTTATTGAGAAGGTGACTGGGCAGTGGAATAGACTGACCTAGAAGGTTGTGGAGTCTCCACCCTTAGATTTTCAATCCTTGTCTAGACATGGTCCTGGACAATTGGCTTTAACCCTTCTTGAACAGTGGGTGGCCAAGATGACCTCCAAAGGTCCTTTCCAACCTCAAGCATTCCATGATTGTGTTCTAACCTAACAAAGGCAGAGATGGTCCAAGTACATTAATAAGGATCTGGAGAAGAAAAAGAAAGTCATCTCTGTGATCTGTTTCTGGACGAAAAACAGAGGCTGCCTGTGGAGACTGAATGGGCTCTGCAAAATCAGCCTTCCCTTTCCCTGTTCAATGAAAGTGTCTCCAATGCTATAGGGAATTAACGGCTCCTTTAGCAAGATTATTAGTTCTTTTTATAGTTCTGCCTTGCCTCCTTTTCCTAATGAATCTATCCATGCATAAAGTATTCAAATTACCCTAAGTCAATCTGTTTTGCATGGGAATAAATCTCTACACTGGTTGCAGTGTCACTACGCACTGGAAATTAAAGCACAAAAATGCTAAAACCCAAGAAGGAAAGTTATCAACTAAAATGTGCTGCTGCTCCTCCAAGACAGTGACCCATAAAGAGTCTAGTGATACTTGCTCTCAGTGGGGAGAAGAGCCTTCACCACTAGACTATTTCTTGATATAATTTCAAGACTGTCAATTGTACAGGTTAAAAACAGATTAGAAAATTCTAAAAACTGTCGATTTGTTTTATTGGTATTTTTAAGATTTTGTCTTTTCAGGTTTTTTTATTCATCATGGTAGAGACAAACATTTTCTGCAAATGACAGTTCAAGTTCTCCTGTAACTGCAAACCTTCCACTAGATTAGGTTGCTCCAAGCCCTGTCAAACCTGGCCTTCAACACTTCCAGGGATGGGGTATCCACAGCTTCTCTGGACAACCTGTTCCAGTGCCTCACCACCCTCACAACAAAGAATTTCTTCCTAATATCTAATTGAAACCTGCCCTCTTCCAATTAAAATCCATTCCTGTATAAAGCATATGAAATCACAACCAATAAAAACCACAGTAGTAGGGGAGAGGGAAATACTTTAGCAAAAATTGTACCCTGAAAAATGTATTTTTCCTTTCCTTAATGCTCTATCCTTCTGTTATTAAAAGAGAAGTCTCAATAGCTGCAATAGATTTATTAACTCAGTAGCTTGTTATCAACATAGAGCTCAGTTATATGAGGAGAAAAATAAATGCTACTTTGCAGAACTGCAATACTAAGATTAAGTGACTTTTTCATTTCGTTTTCTCCTTATCCACTCTTCCAGGTAGTAACTTTATGCTCTCCTAATTATAAACCTTATTTTTTATGAGCAATCAATGCTAGCAATAATATAGATGTTGTGCAGTCAAATGGATTGGTCATGACACTGAGATATCTGATAATGGAAAAAGACAGAGTCTATAAAACCATACCTCAAAGGTACTTGATTGGAATTTACATTATCTTGTAACAAAAAAAGTTCTCTCTTTGACAGCCCTTATATTTAAATTATAATAAATTATAAACTGGATTTCTTGAGCTTGGCACCTTAGTTGAGTAAATCTGGTTTTTTTTCCCCTCCTGAATAACCTCTTGAAGGTGAAAGAACTGACCTTTCCACAGCTGACAATAACAAAAACTTTTTAATACTCAGAGAAAGAAGGCACTGGTTTCAGTTGCCCTGAAAATGATCATATGAAGAAGTTAGAACTTTTAGCAATGAATAAAATATTTAAAATTTCATCTTTTTGGAATAGTTTTGACTGTGCAAATGATGCAGAAATGCATTCTATAAGGGAATTTGTATGACCTGTGCCTTTGGGAATCAATGAAAGCCTTTACATCAAACATTTATTTCTTCATTCATGTAAAATTTTGTTCGCTAGGAAATCCTACAGAAACATATCTTGTTATCATGAATAACCAAAGGAAAAATACTCATGCAGTCCCAAGCACTTCAGCAAGTACCACAAACATAACACGGAAAACAATCAGAAAAGCAAGATAATTTCCTATAGGTACAGAATTATTACACAAAAAAATGAGTAACCTGGTCATTTAAGTATGTTTTAAAAGGATAAACTGTCACAACAGATGACAGTTCCAAGCAGCAAACACTGCATCTGTGATAATGACACTGGCATTTATTCTTTAGGAAGAGGTGAAAATTTGAGTGTCCCTTTACAAGCAACATTTTTTTCTAATTGAGATGATAACGAAATATTTTCTATAGTGTGTCGTTGATTAAAATTGTGACAGGGTAAACTCAAATCACTTCAGCCTGGGCAGCCTCTTGTCTTCTCCTTGGGCCATCTAAGCACAGGGAAAACTGAAGCCAACTTAAAATATCATTTGATGTAACGGCCTATTATCAGCTGCTTTAAGGAACAAACCATGACAAGAATTAACTTTATTATTTTCCTTTATGGACTGCATGCACCTTCATCAGCTTTAGTTTAACAACAATGAAATGTTCCATTTGGGAAATGGAATTTATAGAACATAAGGCAGAAGCAGAACTGATACAGTGTAAAACAGCAGGGAAGTCCATCCATCTCAGCACCTCTTTAGCAGCCACAGCTGAGCACTGTTCCCTGAATTGCCTGGCCTGTCCCTCTGACATTATAGGAGACACCAACTGAGAAATAAGCCAGGCAAGGAAATTAAGAGCTTCAAAACTGTTGTTGCTGTCCAGAGCAAAATCCTTTTGAGAAACAACGCCTTGAGAGAAAATGGCTCTGCTAACCTCAATTCTGTTGAGATTCAACCCATCTCTGTGAGATTTGATTTCAAATTGTTCTTTCAAAACGTATGGCCTATATATAAAAAAAATATAGCGATAAGGTAAAAATCATTTATGGGAGAAATACAGCCAAAATATCACCTCAGAAAGGACTATGAAATAGCACTTCTCAAAAGATCTTCATTGCAAAGAGATGAAACAAGCAAATAAAACAGTTTTCTAACTGGGTTCAGAGAAAATTTACTGTTAATATGCTTTCTTTTAATCTTTTAGTATTTAAAACACTCTTATTTCAATGTCAACAGGCACCCTACACATGCCTGGCAAATTCTGAACTAGACCCTTTATAAGCATCACATTGGGTCATCTTACATTCATTTTGATTTTATATTTTTGTAACCAAAAATGAGAACAGATCAAGTGATACCACATCCCTGTTCTCAGCTTTTTTTTCTAAACAGAATCTCGAATTCATGACAATCAAACTTAAATGACAGCTAAAAAGGTTATTTTAGCATCAATTTCAAAGAAAACATTGAGTTTTCAAGCAAACCGTGTAGCTATGAGGTCAAATTCTATACATCCTTTTTTATTTTGGTTTAGGTTCAACTCAAGACTTTCATATGAAAGATGAGTGATAACCTGAGCTTATAAATGTTATGATGGAAAAAAAGAAACTTACCCTTAGGCCAAAAAATAGCAGCTTTTTGGTGTGTGTTTTTTTGTGTGTTTGTTTTTTTTTTTAAGCCCCAAAATCAAGATAGTGCAGCTGAAACATGTTAATCATAAAGGCATCATGTGTTGATCTTATAATAATAATATAAAAAATATGTTCTGGACCTGGTTAGTGGGATGTTTAATTTACCAATATATTGATCTGT